TAATTTCAGCTAATATTAGGATTGTTGGTAACAGAAATTAACAATTATGTTCAGGAACCTTGTAGACCAGCTCTCCGGGCTCTTGGCCTTCAGGCCCTTGAGGGTCTAGAGCCCAGGACCCGCACAGTCATGACCGCAGGGTTTCAGGCGACCCGGTTAGGCGAGCAATGCTGGTTGCAAGGAAACTCCCTCCTGTTCCGGGCATGCGTGCTACCGCCCCCATGGTTGCGCTAAGTAGGACCAGTGAGGTCGACCGATGAATACAAAGCAGGCATAAACTATGTGCGTGCCGGCAGATACCACAGACTGCAGCATTTCGGGCCCTGTAGAGGCTGCAAATATTGTAAATTACAGGATTTGGAAGGGCTTGGGTTTAGGGTTCGATCCTTGATTTCAGGCGCTACAGCGTGCAACAACTTGTGCAGGCTCAAGTTTTTAAGGTTTGGTGACTTAGGTTTTCTAGGGCTTGCGGATTTTTGGGTTTTTGGTTTTTATGGTTCTTAGGGTTAAGGTATTTGCTTATGCTTTTTTAAGGTGTATGGGGTTCAGTGTATTTAGGGCATTTAGGGCTTTAGGGCTGTAACGTTTTTAGGGTTTAGGGTTCTTGGTGATTTAACGGCGTTTCGTATTTTAGAGTTTAAGGTTAGATTTTTGGTGTGGTTTAGGGTCTGTTTTTTTTGCTGTTTAGGGTTCTCAGGTTTAGTGTCTTTAGGGTTTAGGCATCATACCGTCTTTAGGGTTTCCACGATTTTTAAGCTTGAGTGTTGTTAGGTGTTTTTTTTGGCTGGGCATGTAAGGTTTTTTTGGTGTGTGGTTGTTTTTTTATGATTTAGAGTTTCTAGGCTTTGGCTTGTTTTTGTTTAGGTTTTTCTTGGGTTCAGGGTAGGCTTTTTAGGGTTTATGGTATGTTGATGGCATCAGGCCCCACAGTTGCCTGTATTCTGGTCATTACTTATCACTATGCAGCACCATCCCTGTTACTCTTGGCACTTTTGAGATCAGCAACATCAAAAGACAATGACAGCGACGCTGATCGTCGCAAGGACGCCCACGATCCTTGTCATTGTTGGCATTTTTGGGAATTGCGACATGGAAAACGATGACCAGTCGCATGCTGGGCACCCATCTCCTTGTGACTGTTCTCACTTTTGAAAGGCCTGCGCTGGGGTTCAGGGGCTATTCAATGGGGGGGATATGGGCGGGGGGTTGGGTGGGGCCCGGGCAACCGGGATCAGATGTGATGCCTAAAATACTGCGCCTACTGTGCCTGGTAGCAGTTCAGGGAAAAAGTTACTACGAAGACAACAAGTAACACCAAGCAAGAATAAAATGTTCAACTAACCTAGCTGCCTGCTCC